ATCTGTGGTGGCAGCGGGTTCTTTGCGGGTGCTGGGGGTGGGTCGCGCGTTCGGAAACTCTGCAATTCCGGAACGAGGAGCAAATATCTATATGAGCTGATATCTTGTAGCAGAGGAGCTGCACTGAAACTGGTTTTGGACCCGAGGAACTGAGAACTAGCTGATTAGCTGCAGGGTACAGAGACATCGTCCACGCAGCCCGGTGGCCTCTAATGGGGCCCTGTGGATTTTTTGCGTCGCTCATCGTCCTTCAACGTCAATGTGCCGATAATTCACCTCGTAGTGAGTGTCGGCACTGCGGCGTCCTGTTGCTTTTCAAGTGGTTCTGCGTCTGCAGGTCGTGGAGAGCCCGTATACCTCGTCGTGGTGACTTGTCACTCCTCGTCCTCCTCATGCCTATCCTCATCGTTGTCCTGATCTTCTTCTTCTTCTTCTTCTTCTTCCTCCTTCTCCTTTCCATCACTTTTATGCTTGCTTCTCGTCCTTCGCTCCTCTTCCTCCTACTTCCCGATCCTCCTCCTCTCTTTGCCCCTCGTCCTCTCGTCGGCTCCCCGCTCCTCGCTGCGCCCCTTCTCCTGCCCTCCGCCCTCGGATCCCCGCCCCCGACCCTCTCGCGATGCGCGATGCGCGAAGCGGGGCTGGCGCGTGCGTGCGCACAGGCCGGCATGCGCGCGCCGGCTGCCGCGGGGTCGCGCCGGCGCGACCCTGCCGCGGGCACCCGCACGCGCGCGAGGCACGCGGCGTGCGCGGGCGTCCTCCCAGGTCCGCCGCGCCGCTCTCCTCCCCTGCGCGCCCTCCCGAGGGGCGCCGCCGCCGCGCGCGGGGTAGTGCCCGGGCCCCAGGGCCAGGGCAGAAACGGCAGGGGATCCAGGCCGCGCAAATGGTTGGAATCCTCCTCCTCCTCGTCCGAGGCCCAAGCCAGAGCGTGAGGAGGGATCCTGGATCGGAAGAGTTGAGCAGACGAGGTCGCAGGGTCGCGCCGACTCGCCGATGCGGCGCGACTCTCCGACCCTGGCTGCTCGGACCCCGTATGGGGCGGCCTCCGCAGGGGAGCGAGGGGTGCCGCGGGCCGGGCCCGGTCAGTGCACGCACGCGCGAGATTCTCCCTTGCGCCCTTCCCCCTCCTCGCTCGCCGGCCACGCTCTGACAACGGTGCAGCGCTCTTTGTGCGCATTCTTGGCGCTTCGCGTATCCCCTATCAGCCCATGCAGACACGGTCGGAGGCTTTCTTGAGGCCTCTCTGAGGCTCTCTTGAGCCATGCTCGGATGGAGGCTGCTGGAGGCTGTCTTGAACCATGCTCAGCTGTCTTTGGCCATCTTGAGGCTGTCTTAAGGCCTCTTGGAGGTCTGCCGGAGGCTATCTTGAGCCATGCTCAACCTCCTGGGAACATCTTGGGGGTAGGAGGAGGAAGAGAAGGAGGAGGAGGAGGAGGAGGAGGAGGAGGAGGAGGAGGAGGAGGAGGAGGAGGGAGAGGAAAAGAGAGAAGGATGATGAGGGGAAAGAAGAGGAGGAATGCGGCACGACGACGATGACGATGATGATGACCTTGCTGCTGATGACGGTTGATGATGATGATGCTGATGATGATGCTGATGATGATGCTGATGATGATGATGATGATGCTGATGATACTGATGATGCTGATGACACTTATGATGGTCATGCTGCCGATGATGGATGATGATGATGCTGATGATGATGCTGATGATGCTGATTCTGATGCTGATAGTGATGCTGTTCATGGTGATGATGATGATGCTGATGATGCTGATGCTGCTGCTGCTGCTGATGATGATGATGATGATGATGCTGATGCTGATGCTGATAATGATGCTGGTGATGATGATGACGATGGTGGTGGTGGTGGTGAGGAGGATGAGGATTAGGATTAGCATGAGGATGAGGATCCGTAGCCATTTTGGCTCAAGCCGTTCACCAGCGGACAACCCCTCTTTTCTATTCTATTGCTTAAGCAAGCCTGGCATGTTTGTCCTTGTTGTGCTTGTGCGAAGGGATACCGATTGCAGTGGATTTTGAGATGGCGCGGGAATATGCGGGTGATGCGCATCCGGTGAGGACAGCAGCAGATCGTATGGCGAGCAGGGCTTGGGCGAAGCGCTCTGCCGATCGCACGGTGGAGAAGCTCAGCCAGGCGCTCGCAAACTCCGAGGCTAAGTACGACAAGCTCATGTACCTAATGAGGGTGATCCTCCAGGTGGGCGCATCGACGACGGGGCGCATTCTCTCTGTTGTGCCAGCGTTGGTTGCAAAGCTGACTGGTTCGGAATGTGAAGGGGTGGATCAATTGCGGCGGAATGTGGCTTTGCATTCGATGGCCAAGGGCATTGACGTGCTAACGGCCGCCCCACCGCAACTCCGAATGGCGCAGCGTGCCCTTCGGTTGGAGTCCTTGGCCGCTAATCTCCACTCGGCGGCCGATGCAGTCGGCGTTTGTGGAGAGTCCCTAGCGTGGTGCGGCGCTGGTGGCAACGAAATGCACCCAGAGGCGCAGCCGTTCATTCCTCTAGGCCTTGGTGCCTGGCTGCGAATATATTCCCCGACGTCGGAGCAGCCCTTTGAGGAAGAAAGGGGCATTTACACAGAGAGAGGGGGCCTGGGAGTTCTGTGTGTTCGCAGTAACTGATGACACCCAGTGCGCGACAGCCTGCGTTGCAGAAAGCGAGTTCCAAGCCTCAGGACCCCCCGGGCACAGCAGATCAGCTTGGGCTGTCGAAGGGCGGTGGCTTGTTTGAGGGCCTAAACGACAAGTTCCAGGGTCAGGTGCCGAAGGTTGCGACGCGGGAGCCCGAAGTCATGCAGTTCGCAGATCGACTGCCCGAGATGCCAGACGCACCATCAGTTCATCTCGAAGGCGATGCCGAGCTGGAGCTGCGAAAAAAAACACATGCGGATAGAGCGCGAACGCCTCGGACGGCAACTGCAGAACGAGGGCGTGAAGAGAAGCGGTTGGAACGCAGATGCCTACGGAGGTCGCGGTTCACGGGGGATGCAGGTCCATGATATTGAGCAGGGTCTATGGGAGGTGCGTGAAGGAGATCGAGGCCAGCTCGACAGGCCGAAGCCGGGCGGCTGCCCAGGGCTACAGCGGATTTGCTCTTTCTCCCTGTCCTCTCTTTCCTATGCCCCTCGTCCTTCTCCCCATCCCACTTCCCCGCCCCCTCGCGCGTTCCTGCAGTCGAGAGATAGGACACAGGAGTCGCGGTCTGCCTTCTTGTGTGCCTTGTCTGAGGGATAGTGGTGGGTGTGTGGTATGGGGTTGCGGGCTTCTTGAAGTGCGTGGTGCTTTTCGAGACTGGAGAGGCCAGCCGTGCACCGCGAGAGTGCGCTACCTCCTGGGTGAGGTGGGGCAGTGCAGGGATTGCCTTGCATCGATGCCCCTGCCTTCTGTGTCTCCTCTCCCTTTCCTTGTTTTCCTCCGCAAAATCCTCTCCCTCCTCTTAGCCTGCCGCCCAGCAGCCAAGACCTGACGCAGCGACAGTCAGGGGCTAGCCTCTGGAGCTTTCCTGGGGGAGGCGGGGAGATATGTGTATCGGGGGGTGGATCGGAGGATGCTTTCAGTGGGAGTGCAGACCGCTGGGACCGAGCCCAGAGCTTAGTTGGGCGTGGTGGGCTGGCCAATAGCCCGGCTCACGCCCAAGTGCAGGTATGGGGGTACCCAGAGAGAGGGGAGTTTGGCGGAGCCAACAAAAGGTGGGACATTACAATTTTGGGAACTCCCTCTCCTTCCTCTGTTGCCTCGCGGCTTGACCGCGGCGAAAAAGCAGGAGATGGGTCGGACCATGTCTCTTCTCAGTCTTATTCCCCGTTGCTCTCCATCCTATTTTCTCTCCCTCTCTCTCTCCGTTCGCTTTGGGCGGTGCGCAGTTGAAGTGGCAGCACTAGCTCCGGTTCGGCGTTTCGGACTTTGCTATGGCTTAGATGATGATGATGATGATGATGATGATGATGATGATGATGCTGATGATGATGATGATGATGATGATGATTCAGATGATGATGATGCTGATGATGATGATGATGAGGATGGTGATGATGATGATGATGATGACGATGATGAGGATGGTGCTGATGCAGATGCAGATGCTGATGCTGATGATCATGGTGATTCTGATGATGGTGACGATGATGATGGGGAGGAGGGGCAGGAAACAGGACATGAGGGGGGGCGGAATATGCGAGGAAAAGGGGGATGCGAAGTCGGGCTTAATCTATATGTTGTTGTGAGAAGTTCTTCAGGGACGACCAAGTCCATCTTAGCGGCTTTGTTGGGGTCCCCGTCTACGTGGGGCCTGTTGGGGCTCATTGGGGGTGTCTGGAAGGCCTCTTAGCCTTCATGTTTCGAAAGAGGGGTGATTAATTCAGCCCCTCCCCCCCTTCCCAGAGACTCAAGCATGGCGTCTTGGAGCCCTCCGGGGCCGCTCTTGGGCGTCTCTTGGGTGCTTTTAGGGCCGTCTAGGGGCGCTCTTGAGCCTCTCTTGGGGCTGTCTCGGGCCATCTTGGGTCCACCTTGAGGCTTCAAAAGCACATGCGAAACGAAAAAGCGACAAGGCAATCCACCTTGATTCTCGTAGGTTTTACTTCTTCGGGGCACTTGGAATCGTCTTAGGGCGGGGCCTCCTGGGAGATATGCAGAAGGCAAGATTGAAACATCTTCGGCTACCTTGAGACATCTTGGCGGCCGTCTTGGGCTGCCGAGGGTCTTTTCGGAACCATCTTGTGCTGACCTTGAAACTCCAACTGCCCGCCTCCCCTTCCCAGGCCCAGGGTAGGGGGTAGGGGGAGGGGTAAACCCCTCCCCCGAGCAGGGGAAGGAGGAGCAGAGAAGACCATACCCGTTGAACCAGAGGGCTGGCGGTATTTGTGTGTAAAGGACTGTCACCACAGTGTGCACTGGAGGTTCGGCTGTTGCTGGAGGTTTTAGGGGGGATTTTCCGGCCCCCGGATTGCTTTTGAGGAACCCTCGTTCGCATGAGCCCAGGCTGGCCAGCAGGTCGAGTTTGCGGTCTTCCTGGGCAGGGACAACATGCCGCAAGCTTACGACCTGCAGGACCCTGCTGCACCGGTGGCGCGAGTGGGCGGCATGCTCTTGATGCAGCAGCAGGAGGGTCTTTTTTGTGAAGTCGTGCTACGATGCGCGCGCTACCGCGTGGCATTTCCTCCCTCCATCTCCTCTTTCTCGTCCTCCCCGTCCTCTTCTTCTCGTCCTTGTCCTCGTCGTCCTTTATCCCTCTCTTATGCTCCACCTCCCCCCCTCTCCTCTTCCTCCCCTTGGTCTTTGAGGCCGCTTTGGGGCGAGCTTAGCGGTCTTGGAGCAGTGTTTGGCCGTCTTGCAGCCGTCCAGAGGCAGAAAACGACACTGGCGAGCAAATCCAGACGGGATATTTTTCTGAGTGCGCGCGCGCGCTGGTAGGGGGAGGATGTCGGCGTTAGAACGCATCAAAGAAACTCTACCAGAGAACAGAGGAGCTTTTTGACACGCCCATTCCGGGCAGTCACGGTGGCGGATGTTTTTGATCTCTCGTTTCCCCCTATAAAACGTTATGTTTTTTTTTGTTTTGTTTCTTTTAGCTTGTTGTAGAGCTCTTGTGGCATACTTGGTGTCTCTTAAGGGACTCTTGGGTGCGTCTCGAGACAATGCTTGGCCTTCTTGGCGGTTTCCCTGGGCCGTCTGGGAAGCCTTGGAGAGCCTTGGAGATTCCCGAGGACGCGTCGGGCCGCCCAGGAACCCGGGGGATGGGGGGGGCTGTGCATGCGGGGAAGCGTGATTGGGACGGGGGGGTGGGCTGTCATAGCTTTGATTCAAGAGGCTTGCGCCGTTCCGCCAAACCCTGCAGAGGCGTGGAGTCCACGGTTGCGGCGTCGTGGGCTTCTTGGGCACTGTGCGGGGATTCTGGTGGGCGTCTCGGGAGCTGTTTGGGGGGCCTGGCGGAGCCTCTTGGAGGCAGTTTTGAAGCGTGTTGGGGGCCGCTTTAGGGGCCTCTTTTGGAGCCTGTTGGGATCCTCTTGGAGCTTACTGGGGGCCTCTTTTGGGCTGCTCGGGGGCTTCTTGGGGCCATTGGGGGGCTTCTTGGGGCGGAAAGGTATACGTTTTTCGGTTCGTGTTCTCCCTCTTCGCCTCTCTTGGGATCCTCTTGGGGCGATCTTTGGCCGTCTGGGAACCCTCTTGGGCCGTCCTGGGGCCCTCGTAGGGGCCTCTTGGGCAGTTCTGGGTTGGTCTACGGGGCCTGCTGATGGGCCGTCTTGGAGCGTCGGAGGCTCGAGAAGACGATAACCCCAGAAGCTTTGGTTCATCCGCAGGAAAAGCACTGTTTTTTGCCTCCTGGGGCCCTCTTGGGAAGGCTCTTGGGGTGTCTCGAAGGCGTCTTGAGGCGTCTTGGAGCCATCGTAGGCATCTTGGGCCACTCGTTCCGCGATTCGGGACCGTCTTGGAATGTCTATGAGGCCACGGAAGGCAGATTTGGAAGCTTCGGAGTCCCCGGGGGCGCCGAGGAGTCCGGACCGCCCCCCCTTGGACGGGATTTTGGACCCTGGGGGAGGGGGACAGGGGACGGGGACAGCTAAGCATCTCACACGCCTTCGCACCCCCGGCAAGCGGGGGTCGGCGGACAGAAACCCTATCAGACATCACTTGACATTACACCACGCCTCGGTTGGGCACGGGGCACGGGGATGGATGATTATGATGATGACGATGATGATGCTGCTGATGATGATGATGCTGCTGCTGCTGATGATGATGATGGTGATGATGATGATGATGATGATGATGATGATGATGATGGCGGTGATGATGATGGCGGTGATGATGATGCTGCTGCTGAGGATGATGATGCTGATCATGATGATGCTGCTGATGATGCGGATAATGCTGATGGTGAAAATGATGATGCTGATGCTGATGCTGATGCTGATGATGATGATGCTGATGATGATGATAATGTTAATGATGATAATGATGATGATGATGATGATGCTGATGCTGAGGATGATGCAGCTGACGATGATGATGGTGATGATGATCATGACGATGGGTATGTTGATGATGCTTATGGCGACGATGATGATGATGCTGATGACAATGATGTCGTTGATGACGATGATGATGGTGGTGGTGGTGATGATTGTGGTGGTGTTGGTGTTGATGATGATTCTGATCGTGAATGATGTGGACGGTGGCGACGATGACGGTGACGATGACGATGACGACGACAATGGAGATGAAGATCAATCTGAACATGATGATGATGCTGATGATGGATGTGATGATGATGATGATGATGATGATGATGATGATGATGATGATGGTGGCGATAGTGATGCTTCTGGTGCTGCTGCTGATGATGATGCTGATGATTATGAGGATGCTGATTATGAATGATGATGATGCTGAAGATGATGCTGATGATGCTGATGATGATGCTGTTTATGCTGATGATGATGACGACGATGATGACGCTTACCAGGAAGGACGATGCCGATATTGCTACGATTGACGATGGCGATATTGATCATGCTATGGACGATGATGATGCTGATGACGATGACGATGACGATGACGATGATGATGATGATGATGATGATGATGATGATGATGATGATGATGATGATGATGATGATGATGATGCTGATTCTGATGACGATGCCGATCACGGTATTGGTTAAGGTGCTGTTGATGTTGATGACGATGATGATGATGCTGAAAACGATGATGACGACGATGATTAGGATGATACTGACGATGATGGTGATGATGCTGCTGATGATGATGACGATGATGATGATGATGATGATGATGATGATGATGATGATGATGATGATGACGATCATGATGACGATGACGACTATGACTAGGATGACCGCGATGATTCTGCCGACGATGACGCTGCTGCTGCTGATGATAATCAACATCATGATGATCATGATGACGATGACGATGACGATGATCATTACTCCCACGGTAGAACCCCACATGATAATCGATTTAGCTTGCCCCTCGCCTTTCTCTTCTTCGTCTGGCGGAGGCTTCCTTCCGCCCTCTCCGTCCTCCTCCTCCTCCTCTTCTTGTTCCTTCTCGTCCTACTCGTTGCATGTCTCATCCTCTCCCTCTTCCGCCTCCTCCTCCTCTTCCGCCTCCTCAACTTTTTCCCTCTCCGCCTCATGTTCCTCCTTCTCCTCCTCGGCCTGTGTCTGGCCCTCCTCCTCCTCCTCCTCCTCCTCCTCCTCCTCCTCCTCCTCCTCCTCCTCCCCCTCCTCATCGCCGCCCCTTTCGTTCTCCTCCTGCACCTCTTCTTCCTCCTGGCAGGGGCGCGCGCGCGTATGATTTTTCTTCGGCGCCCTCGCCGTCACGGCTGGCGGGGGCGCGTTTTCCGACGGCGAAATCGCGCAGCCGTCGGGGACAGCCCCGCGGGCCAGGTTGTCGAGACAACCCCGCGAGCCGCTGGGGCGAATCACTCGTAGAAGAAACTCCCGCCTCATACATCTGCAATATTCAGACCCCAAGGGCCCGAAACTGCAGACAGTTACAAGGTTTAAGATGACCCGTTCGGATTACCAATATGAAGTGTGCGCCCCATGTGGATCGGGCTCCCGCGTGAGACCTCCTCGCCATTCACTCCCAAACGCGACTCCCGCCTGATACTTCCCCCAGATTCCAGGACAGCGCTGGGTCGGTTCGGTTCGGTAGGTTCCGAAGCGAATCCGGTTCTGTTCGGTTGGGTTCGGTGTCGTAATCTTCCGGTTCGGTTCGGTTCGGTTCGGTACGTTTATTTTTTGTTTCCGGTTCGGACCTGTTCCTGTTCTTGTTCGGTCCGGTTCTGGCCAGATCGCCGTCGAAGAGCGGTTCCAACCCCAGCCGATCCAATTTCGTTGCGCTCCTTTTGATGCGGATAGTTCGGAGGAGGAGGAGGAGGAGGAAGAAGGAGAGGAGGAGGAGGAGGAGGAGGAGGAGGAGGAGGAGGAGGAGGAGGAGGAGGAGGAGGAGGAGGAGGAGGAGGAGGAGGAGGAGGAGGAGGAGGAGGAGGAGGAGGGAGGAGGAGGAGGAGGAGGAGGAAGAGGAGCTGGGGCGACACTCCCGGCGCGCCCCAGCGCCCCAGCGCCGTGGTCCTCGTGGGCCCCTCCGTGGCTGCCGCTGGCTGCCGCTGGCTGCCGCTGGCTGCCGCTGGCAGCCGCTGGCTGCCGCTGCTGCTGGCCGCCGCTGGCCTCAGCCGCTTGGGGGATCCCCGAGGTCCCGAGGGGGGGTCCCCGCCGAGGAAGATTGCGACCCAAGAGAGGTAGGGGGGGGCCCGAAGGGACCCCGAAGGGGCCCCAAACCCCAAAGGGGCCCCGAAGGGGCCCCAAGTTCGGCCCACTTCGGAAGGAGGTTCAGTCCGGTTCGGTGTCGCAATTTTCCGGTTCGGTTCGGTTTGGTTACCATTGACAAAAATCGGGGGCGGAAAAGAGGGGGGTGATGACTAGGGGGGGTGGATATCATGGCGGGGGCCATGATATTTCCCTAGATTTCATGGCGCTTCTTCTCATTTCATTGCGTCCCTGGCCCCCCCGCTGGGCCGCGCACATGCCGCCGGTCATGATTTGCACCCCCCCTCTTGGACCCCCCCCTCTTGGCCGCTCCCGAAAAAAACACGGGTTCGCGCCGGTTCGGTTAGGTCCGGTTCGGTTCGGCCGGTTCGGTTCGGTTCCGGAGCCATCCTGAGATTCATGCCTGAAGAAGGCAAAAGTGAACACAGACGGTATTGTCACCACCCTCCTGCACATCGTGCTCGGGACCGTCGGGTCGGACCCCTTGTCCGAGGCGAAGACTGCACCCCGCAGTCATGGTGACGAACATCAAATTTCTTGGGAAGAAGTGACACTACTGGTCCCTGGTGGCAAGGTAGTGGACGACTCTGAAGACATATTGCTTGAGGACGACTCCGACGACATATTGCTTGGAGGGGGAGTCTATCGACGTGGGGGCAAGAGCGCGGCCAAGGCGACGAAGGGGCGTCGTGACGTCGCGGACCTTGCCAACCAGGTGACTCAGATCACCACAGTTTTGAACAAATTGACGGAGAAGATGGGAGTGGAGTCTCAGGTCGCTGTGGGGAAGCCGCCAAAGAGACGCACGCCCAAGAGTACACAAGCACCTCCGACACTTCAGAAGATCCGTGAGTACCTGAAGTACATGAGGGTCAACAACGTGAAGGTCACAGAGGAGCAAGTGCAGGACAAGCTGCGCAGCTTACTCACGCGCACCACGGCAGCATCGACGTGGTTGAATGGGGGACCTGCCGCCGAGAAGGCACAGGACACAAAGTTGGTCGTACATTCCCAGCCGTGGGGCACGGCGAAGATTGTCAAGGCCGCTAACATCAGGACGACGACACTAGATGGCCCTGCCGTCATCACGTGCCAGTCGGCCACGGAGTACGAGCAGGCAACACAGTGGCTCGGATCCATCAAAGAGCAGCCCAGTGGGATGACGTTCATTGTCTTCAATGCGCCGTCGATTTTGACTGGAGCTACCACCACCGAGGTTATGTGTGAGACATCTGTTGGGGTCAGACCACACACAGCCCAGATGATCACGACGGGGACCTCACCACCGACACGCCAAGGGCTACCTACAGGCTTGAAGGACGATGAGGCCTCGACAGCACCACCCTTGGCCACGGCAGCCCTGCGGCTCACTATTGCAGAGGCGTTCGCTGACGATGCTACGTACGCAACGGTCAAGGAGAAACCAGTGGCAATGGCGACAGTACTATTCCCTCAAGTGCTGGCGGCCAAGATTTTGAAAGTAAAGGGTGCAGTCAACTACCAGACGGAGTCGACGGCGATTATCCTTGTGCGAGAGAACGATACGGAGGCATTTTTGAAGTGGACGGCCCCGTCAGGGGTATTTTTGAATCGACAAGCGAGTAAGCTGGTGCCAGTCTGGCACAAACTACGGGACGGCGAGAACACGATGACGTACCTCACCAGGGTGACAGCTGCGGCAGCACAGGTCGAGGGCAGATTGGTGTACCGCCCGTCAGATAACGCATCTTTGGGAATTCTATCTCAGAAGTCAATGGCAGCCGACATCCAACCTCGATGGTATTTGCAGAAGTGCCCAGAGCACTGGTCGTCACCACAGGAGGTCGAGGAGTGGGCCAAAGCCAGAGGTTTCCAGAACATCGACGGTATCACACGATCGAGTAAAAGAGCCTGGTTTCTACGAGCTGACCTTGATGGATTGGTCAAGGATCAAGTATGCACATTCAAGTCGGGGATCATAGCTAGCCTAGCTGTGCCTCGCAGGACATCATCAAGACCGCCCCCGCAGGCCAAAGGAGCATCAGCGTGGGGGACTCCAGCGCCGGCAAGAACTCCGATGCAGGAGGCGACAGCCGAGGTGAAAGCAGAAGCACAGGACAAGGATGGCGACGTGGGCATGGAGAACGCTGAGGAGGGCGACCAGCAGCGACCGCCGCAGCCAGGCTCAGCAGCAGCAGCCTCAGCAGCAGCAGCAGCTCCAACCCAAGCTCCACAGGCGCCTACGAGGCCTCCATGGGAGGCATACTTTACTGAGAAGTGCTGCGGGGGAGATGGAGATTGCTTTTTCCTGACGGCCTCCCACGGCATACGAGCGAATCAATCCAAGCCAAAGCAGATGGCAGAGAAGGAGATGGGCCCTGGTGGTGCACTCCAGGCCAACCTGCGTATGATCGTGTCCGCCAGCATGACGGACAACAAACGCTATCCCCGGGACGAGGCCCGCAAGGCAGCCAAGACTGGGGAATGGGCCACATCGGCCATGGTGAGAGCGGCAGCGGTCACCACGAAGACGAATTTCGCTATCTGGAAAAAGTCCCGCACTGGAACATGGACCTTGTATACCGCCCCAGCGGACATCAAGACCAAGCAGGTAGTGTGGGCCACGTTGGTGGACAAGCACTACAAACTTCTTCTCCCAAAGGCGGGTGTTGACCTACCCCAGGAGATTTTGACAAGATGGACGACTGCGGCATTCCCATATCCAGCACGATTTACAGGAGGAGGAACGGGCAGCGAACCACACACACCATCAGCGCGAGCTCCGTCGATCAGAGGAGCACGCAGCATGCTGGGACTCAGCCCAGCATCGACCAAGAAGACAGCGAGAGCTTTGAATGCAGCCAGGAGTTTGCTGGGTCTCAGTCAGTCGGGGCGTTCTAAGACCTCGAAGGCGACGGCCAAGGCATCCTCGAAGCCGACGGCTAAACGCCTGGCACGCGCCAGGAGTATTCTGGGATTATCAGTTGGCGATGAGGATGTCGATGACCCTCTGCCTGATCATGATCTACCAGCATGCCGTCCTGAGCGCTACAACTATTATTTTTGTGACTGCGGGTGGAAACCCGATGGAGCGCATGCACCCTGTCACGTTCTACAACAAGCACGAGTACACTGGCGTGCCTGCAAGGGCACACCACCGCCCAAGGAGCCACCCGAGAACAGGGCAGCACGGCTGAGGGCGGTGACCAGCTTATCATACATGGACAAAGGAAAGCGGGACAAAGCCTGGAGAAGGTACACTGCATGGTACCAGTCTCTACCTGAAGATGTGAAGCCCAGCGTCTGCCAGATCACGGAGGACAACGTCGAGACGGTCAGGGACGGCAAGCAGGGCAACACAGTATATATTTGTACGAGGTGCGGCAGACGCAAGCCACTCGCCAAGCATATCCTGAAGAAAGGTAATACCGCGTGGGCCGTCTGTGCCAGGCGACCAGGAGATCAACGCAAGATCAAGGATGCCACGCATGATGTCTGGACCAGGATGGTCAATAGGGACTACGCGGACCAGATCGTGGCGGCACAGAAGAGGACGCGGGAAAAGCAGAAACGCAGACAACGTACACCAGAGATGAAGGCCAAGCGCCAAGAGTACTATAAGAGGCGGAAGCTGATGCGGATGCTACGCAGACCTGCAGCAGCGGCTCCCAGTGAGGTGCCCGAGCAGGGGGAGGCAGCCGCGGCCTCAGCATCGTCGTGACGGGACCCGCTCCTGGGAGGAGGAGGCCATCACGCAGAAGGTCACGATGACTCCCAGGGGCAACCACCACCCAAGCGGCAGAAGAAAGCTCCGACAAATACGAAAGTATCGAGGGCCTCATCTTCGAGGACCACCACGGCTTCAAAGAAAGCAAGGGTCATGGACATAAGTGCCGAGGACCCGTCCCAGAATTCAAAGGCTGTATTTGCAGACCAAGCAGTTTCTGAACTTGCTCCAAAGACTGGTTTTTCTAGTTCTTCGAATTCAAAGACTGTATTTGCAGATCATTGCCTCGACGTGCACAGGGAGGCCAAAAGGCAGCGGTGCGGATCGGCTGAGCGGCGTCAGGACGCAAGTCCTGGGGAAGCCCCGAATGCGAGGGAAGACCCCAGGCAGCGTCGCCACGTTTTGCAAGCCTGGGGAAGCCCCGAATGCGAGGGAACACCCCAGGCTCGGGACGCGAGGGCAACAACTTCGAGGGCTGCGACGAGACCGACGACGACACCAACACCATCGAGGAGATCATCGACGCGGAGTCCGAGATCCTCCAAACGCTTGAAGACAGGTATAGAAGATGAAGTGGATTACCCTGACCATGGGGTTGACCAAGCTGAAGATCAAGTCAACGGGACGGAGCCCCAGGGCTCAGAGAATGACCAGGGCGAGAACATCGATCGCCTGCAGGTAGCTACAATCAACGTCACCAGCGTCTCAAAGGCCAGATTGTCGGAGATCCTGGACAACGTCGCGGACGATGTCGGAGTACTATGTCTACAGGAGATACGACTCCCTGACATGAGGCCGAGATGGCTGATCAACTTCTGCGCCCGACGAGGGTGGGGTGCAGCGTGTTCGAAGCCCCCTCCTCCTGGGGCAAGAGTTGCAACGACACAGGGCGGCTGTGCGATCTTGTGGCGACGGGCCATGGGAAAGATCAGCGTCATCAGGGACGACAAGCTCGACCATCGTATGGTTGGGATCAGAACTACCAAAGCGACAATCTTGAGCATGTATGGACCTCAGTGGTATGATCGATCATGGTTTTTGACAGCTCTGGATTATGCCAAATCACTGGGCCATCTGGGCCACCCCCTCTACATCATAGGGGACCTCAACTGGAAAGCTTCATATAATACTTTATTGGACATTGGATGGCAGCTGGACGTATCGCACGACCAATCTGCTCAGGTCACCACAGCGACAGGTACAGCTCCGACAAGGGCGTTATCTTGGGGAAATCCGCAGGATGCTCCACCCAAGTACATGGGTGCTAAGCTCTTGCCAGGGATCCCACACCACGCAATGGTCAAGTACCAATTGGAGATACCATACGTTGCTATCCCACGGTACCGACTACACCACACGGCTTCCTTCTTACCGGTGGTCAACACCAGGACGGTTACGGCCGAGTACAAGAGCCTCTTGAAGGAATCGTTAGATGCAGTATGCGCGGCTCCCCATATCAATGGGGACATCGACCTGGATCTCAACAACGACACGGTTGTCCCGCTGGTTACGAGGTGGCGCTACTGGCACGAACGAGCGGAGGCAGCACTCAACATCGCAGTTGACAAAAAGCTGGTGGAGATCGATCGCCTACCCGAGAGGAGCAAGGGCTCCCGACCCACGCAGAGGCCCGCAGCACATGGACCTCGGTTTCGACCAGAACAAAGTATTGTACACAGGCGTCTTCTCCGCCTCCATCGCCGCTTCTCGGAGGCACTCAGGCAGGGAACGTCAGCGATGGCCGAGGTATCCCCACGGCACTTCATGGATATTGCCAGAGCTGCCTTCGAGGGTATCGTCAACATGAAAGCAGAAGGTATTCCTTGTTATGCAGATTGTCTCCAGTGGCTGACGGCAGCCATATCAGTGGAGAATATTAAGTTGCAACGTGAAGCCCAGAGATCTTGGAAAGAAAAGTTTGCAGCGTGGTCCACAGAGGTGTACAAAGTGGCCACGCCTATGTTCAAGCAAGCACCCCCAGCATCATCGTGCCACGTCTCGCAGTTCGCCGAGGAGTGGGAAGCACAGTGGAAGCCGGGGAATGTTGACAAACAAGCACACCTTCGAGCCTGGCAACATCGCGCTGATCAAGTTGAGTTTCCCAAGTCGACTTTACATGAGATGTGGCTGCCAACGAAGGAACAGTTTGATGAAGCGCTGAGAAGCTCCAAGGGCTGTGCTGGATTGGATGGGTGGTCCTTCAGAGAGATTCGTATCCTGGCAGACCTGTACCCAGAGATCATTGCAGAGCTCTACACGTTGTGGTGTGATACTTCCAGGTATTGCATTGAACATGAAGGCTGCCCACCAGGAGAACTACATGATCTGGTTTTCTCCTGGAGAGTGGCAGGCATGCCCAAGGGAGAAGACGACACGAGGCCTATCAGCGTGGGCAGCGTGTTGCTACGTATATGGCTCAGAGCTTTGGCATTCGCAGCTCCTGAGCCGCCAGAGGGCCAATGGGCTAATCGAAAACAGATATCAGTCACTCACGCGATCAGCCAGTGGCTGCGACATTGTGAATTGAGCTCGGATGGATGTGAATTGGATCTCAGCCGCGCTTATGATAATATCCTTCATGAGATTGCGAGTGCTGCAATGGAGCGTTCATGCTACCCTCTGGCAGTACGATATGTATGCAAATCAGCATGGAAAGGCCCTCGTTGGTGCAGCCTCAACGGAGAACTGGCAGAGAGGGCAATATACGCAGACCGAGGTTTGCCACAAGGAGATAGTACAGCACCTGGGACCATGATCAGTACCCTTGTTCCTTGGATCACATCGGGCCCCTCGGGATGCTTTATGGACGACCGCTATATTGTTGGAGATAGCCCGCAGGGGCTGCTGGACGACATGGCCGAAACATCTACCTTCGACAGTGAAGTGGGTTTCAAAGCGAACAACAAGAAAACGCAGATATGGTCTACCACGGACGAGGAGCCGCAGCAGATCGAACACCTCGGTCTCCTTGCATGTCCTACTGACGTGACACGGGCCATCATACCAAAGGATAAATGGGCTAAGCTATACACTGGAATATCTATTCTTCAGTCAGTGCCTGGATCTTGCATGGTGAGATTGCGGTTGGCCTATACATACCTAAGACCTCTTTGGATGTGGGGAACTCCTATTGTGACACCTCCACCGACAGAGACGGCAAAGCTATTGGCGAGAGCAGTATGGCGTACCCAGAATACCTGGTGGTGCCTGGGCAGATGGTGGTGCCAGAACATCATGCTTCACCCAGTATACTCGTGCAGCCTCTTCGCCTTCAGACGTCTACATGACGAAAAGCTGGTTTGGTCATCTTTCTTAGAGAATTCTATCCAAGTTCACGCTAGAACTCCTGGGCTTGGAGTATATACGATTTTCGGATGAACGTGGAGTTTTACTGGAAGTCTCAAGTATGGACGACTTCAGAGTATTGCAGATTGTGGAAGGCTTGGCGGACGCTCAGCACAGATTCTGGACGCACTCCAAGAGAGCTCAACATGTCCTTCGGGTCATAGCGAGGATCAGGTGCCTTCAAATCGTGGAGCCCCGCAGGAAAGATTCGGAGGAGGTCGAGTCAGTGGATGTCGACGCCTGCAGCAACAAAGTGTTCACAAAGTGGTTTCATTCGTTGAGTATTGCCGAGAAGTTCAGCCTCTCAGTATATCGCTCAGGGGCGGCTTCGTCGGAGACGCGTCGACAGACAGGGCTGCCATGCCCACATTGCGGCCATTTGTGGCCATCTATACGTCATCAGGTCGTGGAGTGCCCGCAGTGGAGCGGGCTCAGAGCTGATCTTTCATCAAAGTACGATTTACCGCCCATGTTCTGGACCAGCCTTCCAAGGGTTTCGGCCAAAAGTGGGTGGATCACGTACGCGGCAGACCCCGCGTCAAATATCAGAAGAGCTACCATGCTGAGGGCCATCTGCGAGATGGGCATCGGCATCATAGGCAGCGGACTTGAAGGGCGACTTCATGACCCAGCGCCGCCCCCTGTGCGGCGGCGGGTACGTGTTGCTGCGTAACTACCACGAGTGGATCTACCCCATTGTCAGGGTATTCCACCTCATCTTCTATACAAAAGTGAACACAGTTACAGGTTTGAAGACGACCCGCTCGGATTACTCACACGAGCTGCGGGCCCCACAGGGAGGGGGCTCCCGCTTGCGACTTCCTCGCCATTCGCTCACAAACGAGGCTCCCGCCTGACACTTCCTCCGTATTCAAGCCACAGGGGCCCAAAAGTGAGGACAGGTACAAGATCCCGGCGGCACGCTCGGGTTGAAAACATGAGCGGCGGGCCCCATTGGGAGGGGGCTCCCGCCTAAGACTTCCTCGCAATTCACTCACAGACGAGACTCCCGCCTCATACTTCCTCCATATTCAGGCCACAGGGCCCCCGAGGGAACGACAATTACAGGACCCCGATGACCTGCTCAGATCAATTTTGGTGAGCGACGGGCCACAGAGGGGGGTGGCTCCCGCCTGAGATTTCCTTGCAATTCACTCACAGACGAGGCTCCCGCCTGATACTTCTCATATTCAGGCCTCAAGGGCCCAAAAGTGACGACAGTTACAAGATCTCGATGACACGCTTGGATTGAAGACGTGAGCGGAGGACCCCCGTAGGGAGGGGGCTCCCGCCGAAGATTTCCTCACAGTTCACTCACAGACGAAGCTCCCCGCCTGATATTTCTCCACATTCAGGCCTCAGGAGCCCCAAAGTGACGGCAATTATAAGGATGAGGATGATCCGTTCGGATTCAAAACATAAAGTGCGGACCCCATAGGGAGGGGCTCCCGCCTGAGACTTTTTCGCAGTTCGCTCACAGACGAGGCTCCCGCCTGATACTTCCCCCATATTCAATCCTTAGAAGCCCCAAAGTGACGGCAATTACACGAATGAGGATGCTCCGCTCGGATTAAAACC